GTTCCCTGACAATCCTCAAAATTTCAACCCAAGTCATACGGCTAGATTTTGAGAAAATTTGTGGAAATTGTCTTTTTACGACCTCAATGGACGAAAGTATTGCGCTGCGTCACCGTTCGGGGAAACCCTGCTCGCGAGATCGCGCGCGCACTCTGGCCGACATTTGTCAAGCTAAAAATGTGTTTTGGACTTGGCTCTGATCCTTGCACGGTCTGTTACAGCACGGTTACCACAACAGAACATTCACCACTGAAAAGGGAATATGGTGACATTTAACAGGATTTTTTAACCTTACTTCATTCTGGATTTGTGGATGATAATACTGCTTCACTTGTGAAACCGAACCACATTTTGTCTTCTTCGCATGGTAGTACGGATATTAGCATGAAAGACAACTATTATTTTTACGTTGAAAGTCAATTGAGGCTTTGTGTCACCGTATTAAGGTAGTTAACAATTGTTTGCTCCGTCAGTGAGGACTTAATTGCGCTTTGCTTCGGAACATGAAAGAAAATTTAGTTGTTACCAAAGTGGCTACTCAGTTTCCCCAAGTATTAACGTGTGCAAACTGCATCGTGGCAAACCGCCTTCAGAGAAACACTTCTCAACAATTTTTTGTGGACAAAGTCATGCTCGCTCACCATGGGTCGCACCTATTCAAAGCGGCTCTATGATTGGCCAGCTCGCGTATGCATTAGTTACTATTTACCATCACGATGAGACAATATTTCGTACTTTAGTACAGCCAAGCAACTTTTTGGACCCTCTTCCTCAGTTCATTATCCTTCGTGCGTATCTTCAATATCACCAGAACAGGTGTTGTGTGCCTTGATGTATGAAGTAAAGTCGACGTGAAAGAGTCCTCCTTCGATTACACCTATTGCTGCCAGTAATAGAAAAGACCGACTGTACCGGCTGTACCGGGCGTACCGAGTGTACCGGCTGAGTTTACCAAGAAAGGTGGATTAGTCCTCAGATGATCTGGATCGTTACATACATAGTTTTAATTTTCTGCATCACAATATTATTTGGTTTTAAAACTAAATAAACTTTTAATTGTTAAAAAAAAAATGAAATATACGCGTTTGAATACAATGGCATTTGCTAAAATTTAAGTGAAAGGGGGTTTCCCCGCGTTTTGGCCAAATCACTTAGGCCCGGTTCAAACGTCGAACTTTACATGTGTCGAACCCCTGTTTAGGTCGCTGACCCAAACTATCAAGTTGGACTGTTAATTCAGAAGGTTGAACTTTACATGTGCCGAACCTCAGTAATTCGTGGCGAAAGGAAATATCATCCTTACTGCTTAAAATAGGGAAATAAAAGGAAAAAAGTAAAATTCACGAAGCCTGGAAATCTCACAACTTGCAAAGCGGTCACCTTGCGTGGTGGTCAGCGGATAATTGCAGTGGCGAGAAGCAAACCAGTAGAGGAAATAATTGAATGACTGAAAAAAATAATATCATTCCTCAGAGCCTCTTTGTTTTTCTCGCATATCGTATTTGTCCTTTGGTACTGAAATTGCAAAACGCAAGTTACACTCAGTGCAACCGAATAAATTCTTAAACGACAACAACGCGCGCTGGACTATCAGTCGAGTTTATGGGAAGTTTTGCCGGGAGAGGAAAATATTAGAGAAGTTACGATGCTGATAAAAATTACTGGAGGAAGTGTCAAATATATCAGAATGGAGTCTATTCAAGAGAGCTATATAAATACGAGCTTACATCCTGAATAAACAGATGTTGATGATAATAATAATAATAATAATAATAATAATGAAACTTATATGGCGCCGATATCAATATTACTATTTTCATTAGCGCTTAAAAATAAGAATATTTCAAAAAAAAAAAAGAAAAATTACTAAGACTGCATAAAGTATACAAAGTGCATGAACCTACCAAAAAGAGTTAACACAATTTTGTCAACACCAAAATTATAAAAATTACCTAGACTACTTAAATCGTAGAAAACTGCATACAACCTACTAAAAACGAGATTGAAAAGCGCATAAAATTACGAAAAAGCCTTCTGAAATAAACATGTCTTGAGTGTCTTTTTAAAAGATGCTGCTGGGGGGCTACTCCTAATCGCATAGCGCAAGGAATTCCATAATTGAGGAGCAGCAGCAGCAAAAGATCGAACTCCTAAGATTGTCAAAGTCTTGAATTTCACAGGGTTTAGTAGCAGTCCATCACAATCGGAGCGTACCTTGTATTTACATGCTCCTTTAAGACTAATAAGTTCCTGGAGATAAAAAGGCAACAGAGATAACATTTCACTTCGTTTATTACGATCGGTCAACACCTTAAATTCAAAGTTAAAATTCAAACGACCCTAATAAACAAATACAGTTGAACCTGTATATAACGGCCACCCTCGCGACTTGAGGATCCGGCGGCTATAGGATCACTATAATTATTAAAAACTGAATCATTGGATAATGCAATTGTAGCATTTTGATTGGCTTAGCCGTTATGGTATATGAGCTATTATACCATGCTCTCCACATATGGTGTACGCGTCAGTTTAAAATTGGAAGCTAGCTGAGATTTTTTTTTGCGAAGGATAGAACGGCGCCCGAAGCAAATTGTTTTAATTCATTTCTTAGAATACTAGAAATGCAATTTCATCGAAAGAAAAAAGACAAAAACAAACAAAAAAGCCACAAGAGCTTGTTTGAAAGTTTGTCGAAAAACACATGAAGATACATGGAACTAAAGTACCTTGACCAGCTACGAAAGAAGACAAGTGTTGTTTCTTCATGATCGCGAAGCCATTCGCCGATCGAGCCACTCGCCGATAGATAACTGCAGCTTGTTTATCCGACATCAAGAATATAAATCACAAGTAACCAGCTACAAATACGGGCTATGCAGCCATTCACTAGAGCAATCGAGGCGGCAGTATAGCTTCTTTTCTCGTTCAGCAAAACTAGCTTGTGGCTTCAAACAACTTCATAACAAGCGACCGATGTAATAGTTTTTGTCCGTTGTTCTTACTTTTATAACTGCACCGAAAATCCAAATTCACAGTAATTTCGACGGCTGTCACTTAAAATTCTTTTTCTTTACATTATCTCTCAGGTTTTTTTAGCTGTTCTGCTGTGTAAAATCCGAGAATCCCGATGAGGTTTTAAAAAACTAATGTTCATCGCTACAATGTTTTGATTTTTCATTCATGCAGTCCAGGCGAGTCCGTTCGCGCGTTGACAGTTTTGATAGACGTGTGACATGTGAATAGCGGAAGTCCCTTGTCTTTTCCGGTTTGTTCTAGTCGGGGAGATTCAACGAGATTTTGTGGGCGTTTTTAATAAAACAATTATTCCACTCGCGCTTGTTGGATATGACATGATTATAGCCAACTCGGCGCTACGCGCCTCGTTGGCTATTTATCATCTCATATCCAACGCGCTCTCGTGGAATAATTGTTAAATACTCACTGGGCGTGGTCTAATGTCAATTTTAATGGCGTATCATACAAAAACACTTCAGTCAAAGAAACAATAGGACAATCAAAACTCTTTCAAGCGATCAATACTTTAAACAAAGTTCCGTACCAACTTGTAACTTCAAGGTATAATATTACCAAAATATAATTATAGTGAGTAACAATCCCACCTTCGACCGCCATCATTAGTTTTGTTCCTTCTCCCGTTGATCTTTGGTTTATGACGTAATACGCATGATCAGTACACAAATCCGCTGGCAAGACCCTTGATGATCGTTTTGCAAGTTGTGAGAATATCTTTTTGATTTCATTTAAGAGAATGTTTGGGAAGTAGCTTCCTCCCCTACCCCTGGTACTCACTGAGCCTTACTGAAACAGCTTACATGAATCACCTGCGGGATAATAGGTTGTATCATTTGCGATATGATAATATTTCTTTTTGTAATTTATAGTACTACTTTTCATAATTCTTGTACGTCCTCGAAAGAACTCTCGAAAGTTAAAATAGTTTATCAGCAAAGCAGATAATATAACCTATATTGAGTGGTTAATAACCACAATGTTAGTCGTTCTCTGCACCTGGTCGCTCAAGTATTAGACTGTTTCTGTGTCTTATGATAAGCGTTCACACAGCAGCCGTAATCGGGGTAGAAGACCGCAAGCGCGGGGTCCACGCTGAGTCATCGAAATAGTCAAATGTGCTAATTTTTAGAACAAATTGCGCCACCCTCAGTGTCATTAAATCGCACGGGAACCCGCAAATTTACGCGGCTCTCGTGTGGAATTTCAGGAGATGGGCGATCGTTTTGCGACTTTATTTGAGTGCTCTCTGAACTTTCCAAGTGATTCATACTGATCTCGATAGGCAATGCATACACAGTTGAAGAATAAGCTAAAGTTATATAAACGTTACTAGAAATACGTTTAATTCAAAAACCTCGCGAGGCTGAAATGGGCCGGGAGTAAGTATAAAGGGAAACAAACCAAAGAGAACAATAATATGATTAAAAACACTTAGCTGGGAGTCGAACCCGGACCATGAGTACGGAAGGTACAAGAATTCAAAGATATATTTGAGGAAAATTAGCCATAACTGTATAGTTGTTGTTTTTGACTTCCGCCCTCCTTTTGGCCACAAGTTTTTTTTTTTGTTTCTTCCGAACAGGGGTATTCGTCGCACGACATCTGCGACATCTCTTCGTCTCTGGATTTGTCAAAAACACCCTTAATACGGTGATTAACATAAGCAGAATCACATTCAAAGTCCTCACATTTAGAGTTATTGTTAAAGAGGCTCTCCTCAAGATCTTGCTTCCAATTCACAGGAGGCAATGTTGACAGAAATGGACTTTATTCATCTCCTATAGAGATAATTTCCGACCAACGCCATTTTGCGCCCTCGAAAAAAAATACCCGCGCGTGTCACACGAAATGGCACAATTTGTCTAGCAAATTTGACTATTTCGGTGGAAGACACGAAACCAAACCCATTACTTGAAAAGGTATCCAGTTACAACCTCCCACCACGATTTTGGTTCCTGGTCCGCATGAATATAACTATAGAAAAAGTTTATGTTTTCTCTTCGATTTTTTTCTTTATATTTTCAGCTACTCTCACTTCATCCAGTATTCTTGGCAGCTTTGATAGCAAGTACCTTGGCCAGTTGAATTCATATTTAGACCCAGTGTTTAAGACTACAGACCGCAGCAGGTTTGTGAGATGTTGGCACGCCAAGACGGATGGTTGGGTGGCATCAACATTTCACAGTAACTGTGATGGAAAGGGTCCCACTGTAACCATCGTCCAAGTTGGTAATTACATATTTGGTGGATACACTGACAAGTCTTGGGGTGGTATGTATCATTTCATAACAGCTTTAATAGCACACAGATTATAGCATAGGATGCATACTTTCTTTTTTATACCTTCATTTGCATTGATTACGCGAATGTATGACGGCAAGGGTCCCACTGCAAATATTGTTATAAAACGTCTCAGCCTCATATATTGGCGAATGCGTTGAAAATATCAAGTATTTTTCAGTATCATCTTTTTAATTAATTAATTAATGAGCTTAATCGTCCAGTTAATTTAGTGTAGCTATATCTAAAAAATATTTTGAATCTATCTTAAGCTTAGATAACATTGTTGAAACCCAGTTCAAAATTCTGCCATGAATACAACACATTTTTTACTAAATTACCCATAACGTTCACGTTAGCGTGAAATCTACTTTATGATCACCGTTAATTTTCAAAACAACAGGGAAGAGGACTTCAGAAATATGGATTTTTTTGCAGTTTCGTGTTGATGCCAAATATAAAAGCATCATGATTGGCGAAAAAAAAAGCTTGATATGTAACCCCTTTCAATGTCATGGGGGTTTTCTATGCCTTTTTTTTAACTCATCCACATACAGTTTACCATGGAAATTTTTTCTTGGAAACACCCTTCGCACTGACTTCTGACACCTAATGTCTCTTGGGAAAACGTTTATTTATCACTGTCCAATGTTGCCTGTTGCCAGTCTTGTTAAATGTATATTGTAAAAAGGCAATTATGGTTCCCAATAAGGGACATCAGATGAAGAAAGGTTTTTGTACACGCACTTCCACTTTTGTAACTGGCAGTGTTACTTAATAACTTTTCATGTAATGTGGCATTCATTCGATTTTTTTTATTAGTCTTGGCCCAGTCCTATTAAGTCAGTATCAGTTATCCGTGTCGTACACAGTTTATGTTATAGGAAACGTACAGTTCATTCCATATGGTCTATGGTCAGCTCTACACTACAGAGTATCAGTGACGGAAATGGTCTCTCTGGAACTATTTTTTTTTAAACATCGTTAGATAAGGCCCTGTCCACAGGAATCCGGATATTTTGAAAACGGAGCCATTCTGTCCGTTCTTTTTAAAAAAGTGCGCATGGAGACATAGTGTATACCAATCATTCCCGCCCGGGGGGGATGGGGGTGAAGGTATCTCCAAAAAAATAGGTGGTTCAGTCCGCCTGCCAGTATGACGTCACGCCTGCCAGTACGACGTCACGTCTCGCGTCAGTGAGTGTTCATCGAAGAGCCGGATAAAATTTCCAAATTCATCACGGAGATACAGTTCCGATTTCTTGGATTTGGAGATTTTAAGGTTCCTGTTGTCATAGAAAACTAGACTAAAGAACTTTTTTTAATGAAACGTCCAGTGAAGTAATGAATTTTAAAGATTTCTTTCTATCGTCGAGCAAATTTTACGGGCAATCATACCGACCGGCCACACTTTTGAGGGCCAGTGCACAGCAAGATTGAGGAATTTAGACACAGAAATAGGAGGTTCATCAAAGGATGTACTATACTTTACATTGTACGTATTTCCAGCTCTTCAGAGATAGTGGAACCTAATATCATTCCTTTTAAAGTTCGCTTACCTGTAGCGTTGAAAGAGGAGGCTAAATGACAAATATTTGTGAGAGACTGTGAGCATTGAATCTTGTTTCTTTACCGCATTTTAATACTGTATTGGGCATACACGTGTAATTCTTTAATTAAATCCCGAAAACCAATAAAAGGTTTCGTTAAATTATTTTTAAAAAATTCCCACTTTTCTTTTGTGGGGATGCTCATCAAGTCCAAGATTATATCGGCGGAAGAGGCACCTTTGCCCTCAAGCGAGGGCAAAAATGAAACAGTCCAAAGCTAGTTTTATTTCATAAATGTTTTAGGGCACAGCGTGGAAGAATTTCTTCCCTCCTTCCCAAATGCGCGGGGCAGAATTACGTGACGTGACATGCTTTGCATGACTCGACTGAAAGCTGGTTTGCCTGTGGCAGTTCGACGTTGTTTTCGTTCATTGCTGTGGCGGCAAGTGAAATTGTTACAGTTATAAGTTCAAATTCTTCATTCATTTCCTTCTGAATGTCTTTCTAAGGAATCGTCTGAGAAGTTCTATGGGCTCTTAAACTAACACAGTCTCAGGTGGGTATCGTTGGATTAAAAATTGTTCATTCGTTAAATCGCATAAATCGCTGCGTAAAATTCAGAAAACGGAACAGATTACTTGTGACTTTTGTTGTATTTTTTACCGCTTTGTGGACTTTTTGACACTTAAGGTCATTCCCCTGAATTGCATTGCGCATCTGTACTGCGCATAGGATTGTAATACTAGTCACGCAATCTTTCAAGATGGCTACCGTCGGCGTCGCGTCGGCACCAAGTCGAGAGATAAAAAAGGTTTTTTTCTAAGTTCAAAAGAAAAGGGAAGACGAGAGAAGTTAAAAAATATTTGGACAAGGAAGTGTTGTAATGTGAAAGGTGATGGAGGCGTTAGCACAAAAAAGAAATGCATCGAAGACGGCAGCTGCAACTTTCGAGGCAGACGAGTAATCGAGTTAGACGTCCTGGCCAGAGCCCTGGATAGTGGTTGCAGAGCGTGTGGAAAAGCACTTCAGCTATCAAACTGCCATGATGAGACTATCTCTGGGTTGGGTAGTTTTTTGTATATTATGTGCAGCGATCCGGAATGTGGAGAGGTAAATGCGTGAACCACAAACATCGCATCGTGCCGCCGGTGCTGGTCGCGGCCGACCAATTTTTCATAAAAAGACCAAACTTGCCACAGGTAGGTATATTTATTTGATTAGCAGCTTTTATCCGAACATTTTTCCGAGCTTCATCATAATTTAACAATCATAATACCGTGTAATAACTAACTTTTAAATGTACATGTACTGTGTTTATGTGCAGGAATGTTACACGCCGGTATGTAAACGCACTGCTCACGTCGATAAACCTTCCAGCCGTGGGACAAAACACTCTGAAGGCCAGAGAAAGAGAAGTTGGCGCAGCGATTGAGACTGTTGCAAGGAATTCATGTTTAGAAGGATTACAGGTGGAGAAAGATTGTCGGAGGACCGTGGACACAGAGCAAGTTGTAAAAATCGGGGTATCGTACGACATGAGTACGCAGAAGAGGGGAAAGGGCCACAATACTTTGACAGGTTAGTCCTATAATATACATAAAGCTAAGAAATAATGGAGGCATTTTTGCTTTGCTTGCATGGCATCCATATGTTTATGTCTGTTTATCCATTTTAAAATACAATATTTAACAAATTCACAACGATTTTTTCTTTTGCTATAATAACAATAATACCAAGATAATGAAATAGCAGCTGTAGAAGTTAAAATTAATTATTATTTTTACCCTAGACGACAAAATTTCCATCCAACAGCAGTCAGGCAATTTAACATTTGATTTCCTTTAACAATAATATTATTATTAAAACCGAATATTGGAAGCAGGGTGCTTGTTCAAATCATCCTCAAAGACAGAGAATGAGCTAAATAAAATACTAGCATTATTAATCGACAACAATGAGTCATTCATTTAATTTATAGAGGTATTGACTTTTTGACTAAAGTAAATAAAACGAGACTATTTTTTTTCCTAGGAGAAGGGTCTATGATTGGGCTATCTTCAGGCAAGGTGGTGGGCTAGCTACAGCGCAAGGACGAAGAGACGTGCAGTATGTGAGGCAGCTAAGAGAAATGGCAAGGAACCGAGGTCACATGACTGTCGGATGAACTGGACAGCTTCCACCAAGGTCCTCACAGAGAAATTTAGCGGCAGGGCAAGAATCACAATTAACCAGAGAATTCTTGAGAGCATTTCCAGTTGCTTTGCAGACAAGTAAAATGTAAATCCCTAATATGGGAATGTAAATAAGAAAACGATAAGTTATGATATTTATCTGTGCTTTTGCTGAATTAATTATACAGTGTGTGATGAGAAACTTAGCTAAACTTACCTGTATAAACATGTATATTCTTAGTTGACACAGACAAAAGGTATCCGGAAGTCACCCGAATTCGGCATGCAGTATCTCCTGGTCTCTTGTACGGGTCACCAAAATTCCGAAAATAAGCCCCGGGGCTTGTATTTTTCAAAGGACCTTTTTGAGGGGCTTATTTTAGGAGGGGCCTATATTCGGAGGGGCTTATGTACGGAGGGAAATTTGCGTTTCAAAATCGATTGGGCTAGCTTGTGGTGGGAAGGAAATTTAACATTTTTGCTTTGGTTTGCTTTGTATTCGGGGGCAAATTCCAAGTACAAGCCCCCCGGGGGGCTTATATTCAGAGGGGCAATTTAACAGAGGGTTTTTGCATTACGATTTTGAGGGGCTTATATTTGGAGGGGCTTATACATGGAGGGGCTTATTTTCGAAATTTTACAGTATTTCATTAAGAAAGCCATGCAAGTATTATGTAACAGGCAAAATTTCTCGGAAATTATAATTAAAGTGTCATATTAAAGTGTCAGATTCAGTATTGCTTGATCTTTTTATTGTACCAAAGTAACTTTAATTTGGTTGCCATGGCAACCATTTTTCATCATTTTGTCCTCAATCGGGAGCCCAGATAAAGCATCCCTTTAACCTGTCACTTACCAACCAAAAATTAGATCTATACAAATAAGTACAGTTAAATTTACGATGTTTTTTTCCTGGAAAGAGAAATGGGCCTGCCCACCTGGGAACAGAAAATGATGGCATAGCTTCCAAGCGAATACCGGCACCCCCCTCTTTTTTTCGCTTGTTTGACTTTACAACCAATAGGCTGCCTACACAAAAAGAATGGACAATTTCCTATGTTCAGAAAAAAAGATATAAAGGAAAGTATAAAGCCAAAACCCATTTTTTCAATTAAATTATGGTAACCATGGTAACAAACTTAAGGGAAGTGCTTCCTCGACGTATGCGTTTTCGTACCAAAAGCCTTTTGAAAGTGTTACTCTTGTCCAACTCTAAATGTGTATAACCTTATTTCGCACAATCAATAGTATTCTGAGTGTTATCAGGCCTAATTATTGATATAGTCCATGGTGCAAGGCAGCAAACCGGAAGTTTCGAAAATTGCCTCAAAGGGGGTATGTTTGAGCCCTCGCAGCTCGTAAACGAATACCGGCACCCCCCTTTTTTATTTTGATTTTGAAGTCCCAGTATGATGAATAGTTAATAGACAAAATTTGAGAAAAAATCTATGTTAAGTTCTATTTCAGGGGAATGACCTTAATACTTTAACTCAGCTTTATTTAAAAAACCTATGCACATTTCCGACCAATATTGTCTTAAGAAGTTACCGAATAATTAAAGGTTTGGCGCCTACCGTAATTCGCATTTGGTTGTGCTTAGGTCAGAGGTCACGTTTTTTCGCCCGGTTTTAGTGTAATATTTACATTTGCTTGGCTTTGTCAGCGCTCGTGATTTCATTTACCCAAAAATTTTATTTCGCTAATTTGAAGAAAAAAGAATGCTCTTTCAGACTAAACAAGCCTTGGTGTTCAAGGCCATGTACCAATCCGCTTTTTGACGGTTGATTAAGCGATTTTGAGTCAACAACTTTGAAAATTTCTTTAATAAAAATCTCTTGTTGACCAAATCGCGAACTAATCAGTTAAAATTATAGACGAAAGATAGTAAAAATACGAAGTGTCATTATATTTTAGTGGCCAACTTTATTTTAAAATTTACGAGTTAGTGAATATGACTCTAATTTCGCATGATTTTTGCCTCGGGAAGAAAAAAATTGGTTAAAAAAATATTATTCCGAGCGTAGCGACTTTATAATCTTGTCGCGCGCGAAGCGCGCGCGCACTCTGCTAACCGCGCGTGGTCTTAGCCAGCTGCGAAATTCGAGGCTTCATAAATAAATAAATAAATCTTTCTCTGAATATATGCTTGGTATCCGTCAATGACGTCATGGAGCTTTTTGCGTTTCCAGGCAACATAGACTTGGCCACCGATGACCAAGGCGCATTTCGATGTGTTTATTCATCGTCTGTGAATCAAACTTTACCATCGGTGAGTCACGAACAATTTTCCATGCAAATGACACACAAGCACAACAAGTGACTCCAAATCCTCGCCCTGGAAGATTTTCCACCGAAACTCCTCTGGAGCGAGAACGCCGACTTCCAATTCAGCGTGAACAACGAAGGAGAAGACGTAAACAAGAAACCGTGGAGCAGAAGGAACATCGCTTAGCACAGCGAAGGCAACGCCGACAACAAGAGACAGAGGAACAGGAGATTGGAATCAGAGGCATTATGATCGTTCACTGTCGAAAACCCATCCCCGCCGATATATGTAGATCAAAGTCTGCAAAGTTTCAGCACTGTATTACGGCCCGAACTATAATAATTTTCCGGCGAACTGCGCCGGGCCAGATTTGTTCTTTGTTTTTGTCTTTTTCTAAATCCGGGGGCCGAAATAATGCTAAATCTGCTTTTCAATACACTGTTAACAATAACACCACATAATACGCAAAAAACAAGAAGAAGAAAAGAAAGAACAAGGTATGGACCTTTAAGACGATATTCGCGGTTAGTCATCCAGTTCTTAACCCCGACCGGCAGGGCTTAACTTGAGTGCCGTTACCAAACCGAGTTTCGCGAGGCTTATTGCGAGATACGTATTTCTAGTTCACTCGATCGTACTTAAACCAACGATTTTGTAACTAGGGCCCATAGGGCCTCATTCTGGCTGAGTTTGAGGCCAGGTCATTTTTTGACTATTTCCTCGTCTAGTTCCTCGTCTCGTCTAGTTCCTCGTCTCGTCTATTTCCTCGTCTAGCGGAGCTGCTCTTAAATTTGAGGAAAATTAGCTCGAAGCGCGTATTTCAAAGCTATTTCGCATTATTTTGGGTTCAACGGGCCGATCGATGTAGATAATCGCTCGAACTTGGTGGAGAATTAGGAGATCAACAGAGGCCCACACTCGAAAGGATTGATATGAAGTTAGGCCGGTTTAATGAGCGAAAGGATAGATGTGTGATCTGTGAGTGAATGGAACCTCATATTCTGGAGACTAGGGCTTGCCTATTTTAGAGCAAAAAATGATTTAGGTTTGGATGAACTTGCCGGTCCCCAAAAAAGATGGCGATCCCGCAACACGGCCCGCAAAAGAAATTAACAAAATTGTACTACGGACACAAAATATCAAAACGGTTTACTGCAGCAGATTACAGCAACACCAAAGCACACACACCTTCGATCAAATTAGCAATATATAGCGATATTTGCTAGCTTCGTAATTAGCTTTTCCTCGACCTCGCTCGTCCTAATAACTGTGGTGTCCCTTGCTTATTGCACAAGCGACCCGAGGCTCTTGCCCGTTACTATGTGACGTCACACTGGCCGACCGAGTGGGTCAAGAAACGTAGGTGGAAAACAATAGGGTCAAGTCCCCCCCGCCCACCTGTTCCCGCCCGTCCACATGAAAACGCTAAAGGAATGGTAGGATAGAATCCCTTACAGAGCATGCCCTTGATGACGTATGACATCATCGCATTAAAAGAAACCTCCGTTTTCGTCCGTCCACACGAAAACGAGAGCGGCGTTTTTCAACAAAAATTCCACTTGAGACTGTTTTCAAAAACCTGCGCGTTTGGTGCTCGAAAATGCCGTTTCAGTGTGCTTGTGGTCGAAAGGCTAGCAACGGAGAAAAAATCTCAGTTTTCAAAAACATCCGGGTAGATGTGGATAGGACCTGAGAGCAGCTCAGTGAATATTATGTGCGGTTACACATAACAACTTGGTAAATGATTAGTGTGATATAACTTAAGGTTAAATTTCCACTACATGTTGTTTGTAGGTTCAGATAATTTGACAAAGAATAGCTTTCTTGCCCTGGGTAGCAAAAACTCTTGGTAAGTTAGTACCACGTTAAAATGTTACGGGCACTTTCTTTGTTCTTTTTGACGTATCCATGGATAATTCCCATCTAGCATTTATCTTGGCAAAGACCGGAAACTTGCACTGCACCAATTTCCAGTAGTAAACGATTTATTTCTTTTTTTGTTAAACTAAAATTAGTTCACCTGTTTAGAACTGTACAAGACAAAACCTTTAGATAAAAAAGCCCGGGACACAAATGTAAACTGTCAGGGAACGGCGGAAGACAAAGTGACCAGGAAAATAATTGAACAACTGTTCAATTTTTTTAACCCTTTGCCGTCAGCCAATGATTGGGGAAAACCGCATTTTTGACCAAATCTTCCTTTTTGAACAGTTTTTTGGCCAGTTAGCAGTGAGTTAGTATAGAAACTGGACTAAAAAAGAGATTTCCAACACAAATAAGAATACAATTTTCTGCTAATTTGATGTAACGAAGCAGCTTTCAATAAATGAATTCACATTACTAGTGTCAAAACAAGTGAATAGAAAAAAGAAAACTTGCAATATACATTCCCGTATCTTGAACTGGTCAACTAGCCCAGGAGGAGGCCATCTTGACTTCAGTAACTCTGGTTGTTCATATTGGTGGTAAAAACAAACTCGAACTAAGAATCTGTTTGTGGCTTGTATTACTGCAAGATGAAAACTGATATTGTATCGTTTCTCTTCTTAGTAGTGGTAGAGGGATGAAGATAAGCCCCGTTGGTGCCTAGCAAGTGCCTAGTCATTGACTAATCCTGCATACTAATTTGGCCTTCCTGCATACTAATTAAGTACCTAGTCAGTGTCTAGCTAGCTAGGTTTTTAGAGCGTTCCTCCATACTAAAGAGGGCCTTCTTCCATATCTAATGAGCGTCTCCCTTATACAATAGGAACAATAGGCTTGCCTATACTTGCCGGGTAAGTAACCTTAGCTCGGTTTAAACGTCTATGAAAAAAGTAGGAATAAGAGGAGCGAAAGAGCACTTAGGGCTATATATTGTGATAAACATTCGTCCTATGGTCAATTACTATCCTTTGCCGGGCTATCTACTCTAAATAACCGGCGACTACAGGACATAGCTATTCTCATGTACAAAGTTAAAAACATGTGCCCAACGTACATTAGCACTCTATTTGAACACCCTGCAATTAAGTATAAACTGCGTAATCATGACTTCACTATACCCAGATTCAACACAGTCTCCTTTTGAAAGCACTCGCTCAGGTATATGGGCCCAAAGGTATGGAGTTATGTCCCTAGTAACGTGAAAAAAGCTTCCACGTTGTCCTGCTTCAAATATAACATGATCAGAAAAGTGGATCTTAGTATGCTATTAGTTGACAATAACTGTTCTAACTGCTCTCTTTGTATTTCTTAATTTATTATATCAACAGATGGATAAATTTGTACATATATAATTCTCCCGAATGTCTTATTTGCATATACTGAATATAGATTTTCTTAATTTCTTAATTCTACATTGTTTTTTTTTTCATTTTTAATTAACTAATTTATTAATTGATTCTTTTTAACTTATTTCAATTCAGTGTCCCACTTAGTGGTTCTACACCGCTATTACAGTTTGACACTTAAATAAAGGTATCATCATTATTATCGTGACTAGGCACTTAATTAGTATGCAGGAAGGCCAATTAGTATGCACGATTAGGCAATGACTAGGCACTTGCTAGGCCTTTACTAGGCACCAACGGGGCTTATCTTCATCCCTCTACCACTACTCTTCTTACATATTATAGCGTTCATATGTTAGCTTGCACCTACTTGAGGGCATTGTGATTATTTTTCTCTGGTTCTTAGTCGGTAAAGTTTTGACTGTAATCTAAATTTTACTTGTATTTTCCACAGGTCCTTGTCGTTATGTCTATTCAAATAAATCGTTCCTGTTCTCGTTATATAACATCAAAGGCTACGCTCCGGTTAAGGTGAACATCAAGTCTAGTCAATACAGTACCGCTATTTACGCATGTTCCAGTTACGGGCCAACCTTTGGTGGACACGACCTGCACATATCAAATAATGCTGCAAGCAACAGCTATTCCTACACCTACTGTGGCCACACCTACCCCCTCCCCACTGGGTACTCTGCTTCTAGTTGGTACTGTCGATTTTATGGAGGTGGATCCAGTGCTTACTTCACTCTCACTGATGTTGAAGTGTTCTACCAGACAACAAATTAGTGTATTTATGCAAACTTGTTTGTTGACTTAGCCAACTTTCACGGACATGGTTTGGCAAGACTAGAAATGAAAGTGATTATCTTGAAGCTCTTACATGAAATTCTAGTTTATTATTCAGGTGGATCCAGAACCTACTTATAATACAATACAAAATGTCTCGGTCTTTGCTTCAATAACTCAGTGAAACTAAATAAATGGCATCTGCTACGTGTGAAGTGGCACATATAGCCCTACGTTAATTATAAACTCAAATATGTTATGGCCAACTAATAACCCCAATCTTAAGCGCGTCAAATTAAGCATTTAAGCAAAGCTCAAAATCGTTCTATTATTCAGCTGTCCTTGAACGTTTTCACTTAAAATTTTAAACCATTTACTTTGACAATTATTAGCTATTGTCCTATCTCCACGTAGCCTCCCACCCAGCCCCTAAGAGGGAGGTGAGAAGGGAGAAAATACGACTCCCCTGAAAACGCCTGCGCGGAGGGAGGCTAATCTCTGCGACGTTGAAAATCTTTCCGATTTGCACTTAAGCTAGCCTTATGTAGTTTGAAAATCAGTTTGAAATTGACGTTAGGAAAATAATTTTCTTTTTTTCGTTACATAACCTTGTTCTAATACATTGCCAGAAATTAGGGACAAGATGGCGGTTGCGCGTGCGCACTAAGGCCACAATGGCTGCGAATTCGTATAAGAAAATGTATGGAGATAAGGAAACTTTTTCAAATATATCGATTATGAGCTCACGGGTGTTCGGTGCCCGACTCGAAACATGTTAAGTGCTGTGTAACCCTCGCATCTGGGTTAAAAATAGCTAATTAGAAGTAGGTTTACTTACTTCCTGACGTGGCCACTTTTATTCCTTGTTGTACGCTCCATTTCTCCATACATTGTCTAAAAATCTTGCCGAAGTCATGCGAAATACTCGTCGATTAGAGGATAAACCCTTCACTGAAGTAAATTTGCCCGACTCGATATCACTTCTGCGATGGAAGATGTTTCCAAAACAGTCGTTAAAAGGACGATTTTTGCACTGCAAAATACTTCCAAAGGCGCATTATTTCCCTCAGTTTTCCATCTGTAGTCCAGTAATGGACGCCATGGTTGCGAATGACACATTTCGGTCGGACACAGCTTCACAACTCCAAACCCCACAGAATCGCCATTTTGTTTGTTGCTACAACTCCAGAGATGCTTCACGGGATATAAACTAGGTTCCAGGCATTCAAAAATCCTCGATTAGCCTACCAGGCTTGGTTTTAAAACAAAATTGTCACGAAAATGTCACGAAAGGTACATCCGCGTACTGTTTTGTTGCTATCAGCCGCTCGGCCGCGTATAAACCTAACATTTTCTTGCAAGGTGTTTAATTCCAGCTTTTTTCTTCGTAAAACAGATCCACAGAGCTCAAATTATTTAAAAAATCGCAAGGGATACGCTTTCCCTGACTACGATAGTTTTTGTCCGCCATTTTAAAAATGAGATTCCGCTGACAATTGATCACGGGCGCGAAATGTCCACGATTTCTGGCAATGCCTTCGACCTTTTTGACGGAAAAATCGAGCTTTCACATTTCATGTTACTGTGCGGAAAACGCACCAGGAGCATGTATAATTTGTTTTCGAGTGGGGTATGTGTCACGGCTAAATACATGGATGTCATATTGGAGCTGCAGATGAAAAAAATAATAATAGTAAGAGAGATATCTTTCGTTCCCTACTAGCGGAGGTCTCTCACGACGAGGCAAAAATGAGAAACCTTCGCTAACCGGGAATATTTTTCCTGGAATCCTGACTATCCTCATAAAAAAGTGTGTAAGTTCGTAAGATCAGAATTGATTAGTTAGAGAAGTCACCACTTACCATTATTTTATACTGAAGCCTTATAGTAAGAAGCCATTCAATCTGTTTTTTATCTATTGTTAACGAATAAACATAATTTAGCTCGTTTGCTTTGTGACTGTTTCTCTATTATTCGTCGCTCAGACCGTTTGGTGACAGGTATGGTCTATTTACAGTCAGGTTTCTGTCACAAGCTTGGCCTCCCAATTAACAATCTCCGGGCTGGAGGCAATTTCATTGAGATCGTTCTCCCTTCTCTTTCAAGACATCGAGCCGGAAAAATTGTCAACCTTGATGTCATTTTCACTCAAAACCTACCTTAACAACAGACAAGACACCTGCATGCTAGGCGTGTATTGGGCTGTAGTATTTTTTATGCTGATCATGAGTCTTTAGCTACTCCTTTACTGAGAGATAGCAGTCCGAAACATAAAGAGACAAAGAACACATGGTATAAAATGAAAAACCACTTGGGTCAAATTTCATTAAATGGTTAAAATCATGGTCAAAAGCGGGGACGTTGAAACATTTTTCCAAGCGAAGTAGGTAGATGGACCAGTGGGGATTTAAGATTAAAATCATAATTCATGAAACAATCCGAATGACAAAAAAATGCCCTTGTTGTAGGAACAATGCAATGCATAAACTTCAGAATGAATTTCGTAACTGTTGAAGAAGATAAGTTTACTACCTTAAATAATTCTTCATAAGTTACTTCGCGCTAATTTTGGGCTAGCTTGCAGGTACAGTGCTTTTTTGCGATCAATTACGGTAGTCCAAAATTGGCTAAGTATTAAAAAACTTCCCGAGAAGAGTCTTTGGTTCATGGGTTTCCTATGGCTTTGTAGCGTTGCCATGGAATATTCCGCCACACAATTAAACCTACTATCTTAGTGGTGCTGGTGAATTTACCACCAATTTCATACTGAGCCAACAGTAAATTGACAGCCGCTTAGTGACCCCTCACCCAGTTGGGAGCTATAACGGCAAAGGAGCTGTCAATCATATATTTTTAATCAGGTGATGGGGAGACACAGTTTAGACTTATTTTTCGCTGTTATATAGACAACAAACTATGTCCTTTAAAAACAGTAGAGCAAAGCTGGCACTATACCTAAAGTATCGTATATCAAGAGAAACTGTTTTTGCGGGCGACAAGAGGAGCCCGCAATCCTAATCTCCAGGTTGTTACTACGCATGCGTCGCATATATGTAGCCAGCATTTGTTTGGACTTCCACTAAGAATGAATGGAATGCACAGAACGCGCGTTTGGACCTTTTATCACTCCTAATCTGATCACGCGTGTTTTGACTATCTGTCACGTGAAACTTACGCAAAGCACAGCGATGGAACAAAAAAGCTTTTCACCTTCGATCGTTGTCGCCCACCCGTATCTCGGATTCTAAATGGGTCAAACCCGTACTTTCTAAATTTAGAATTACGGGTGTAAGCCAGGTAAGATGATCATCCGTGCCAGCTAACATGACAAAGGCTCCTATTATCCTGATTCTGACCAATCATCGTTTAGATTAGAATGAGGCGAAAGAAAATCATCACGGCGGAATGAAGTGTTGCACTTTGGACCGACGTTATCATGGCGAGCAAAGTCGTAAAACCGTGCACAAAGATATACCCTGTTAACGGACGTTCAAAGAAATATACTTAAGCGATATTTTGAAAATGAAATGATCGGTACTGGCCGGCAGCCCCAAGAACAGATAGCCCGAGCAGCTGAAGAAGCCGATCTTTCGAAGAATCGAGTTGGGGTAAGTTTGACTTCTCTTTCATGATAAAGCAATCGAAATTTCTGTTTCGCGGAGGTCCCTTTAAACTATCGACGGGAATTACAGACATTTCACTTTTTGCTGTTTATTCGTATGACAGCGTTCTCGACATACAATTGTGCTCTGCTGTGGTCTTTTTTAGGGTTTTATGTTGGTAAAAACTCCATCGTACAACATGCCATCCAGGCTCATTGTTTTATAGGCACTTTCAGTTGTTTTGCTTGATGGTGAGTGACAGACATCACTCTCTACTCGCGGCCCACCCGTCCACCACTTTTGTTGTGGCCCATTTTTCTACTAAGGTTCTTCGAAATATGGACAGGGTATTCTCACCATACTTTGATGATGGCGTTGTATGCTTTTTTATGACTGCATTAAGCTTTGGGGTGAGACTAATCTGTGGAACTGCAGAAACCAGCGGAACCCAGAGAAATGACTACTTCTTTTACAGTAACTCGCCTCAACTTCTGTCGATTTGAATAATCAGTAGAAGCAGACCCTTTCGGGTGCTTTTGGACTCGAAAGAGCACCCTAGATAGGCCGATGCCTCCATCTGGTTGTTATGCATTGAAAATTGCTTTCATGCATTGCGTGACCGACTAGAACTTGCGTGTACGTCTGGAAGATTCCTGAATATTTAATTAGCAGGAGCGTAGCCAGGATTTTTCAAAGAGGGGGTCACAGAGGCTACTCACCAGATTGTCATGTCGACCTCCACGCCGTGCATGTTTTATGTGTATGGTTTATACCGCTGCTCTTCCTCGTGTATCAGCCGGCTCAGTCGTATTATCGCGGCATGAAGGCCCATATTAACTAAAGACAAGAGCCGTTGACGAAAATACTTTACGAAAAGACAAATTTTAAAAAAGTGAGCTTTTCAACAATGGCTTTTACAGCCAAGATATTGTCATGGCGTTTTCGCCACCTGAATATTGTAGGTTGTTTGCTCAAAAGGAGGCCTACCAAGGGGGGGTCACGGGCACCCCAGGACCCCCCTAGCTAGGCCCCTGATTAGTGTTTGTGTTTATATGTCCTTTGAGTGATTTAGCAGTTTTTGTCAGTCTTTGTAAATAGAAGAATGTTGTAATGCTACTAATATCAAGCTATTTAGAAGGTTCTAGAATTTCAGAAGTTTGGAATGACTAGTTTTCCACAGGCTGATTTGCATATGGACTATGAGAGGAAAGTTTCTAAAACAATGGAGATGTTCTCAAGAATTAGATCATCATTAAAAACTGAACGAACCGATTGTATAAATCGATGATACTACCAAATTTGGAAATAGTCTTGGGCTGTTTTTCATGGCTGTGGTAAAGGAAATGAAGAAGAACTGGAAACGCCTGCAGAGAAGTGCTGCTAGGATAGTGTTAAAGA